CTCTGAACATCCAGGTGTCATGGCTAATAGCCCTTGATAGATCTGTTCTCTGCCATGAATTTGTTTAAAGCCACCCAAACTAATTTCTGTCACTTGAACTTGTGCCAATAGAAAAGGGAGTGGTTCTGGAGGAGCATAGAAGGCTAAATCAGAAGCCTAATCCGATGGAAGAGCAAACCAAAATATGAGCCTGCAGAAGTCTCAGCCATGGACATGCTCCTCACTTACCTCATTCCCACTGAAAAGGAAGGCCATTTCCTATTTCATCCAAGCTTGTCTTATTGGTTGGGGGAGGACACATCAACCTGGTTTATTTTTATGTCTGAAGTTGGTCTCAGAATGTCAGGGGAACTGGGAGACAGGGCAAAGAACTTCAGAGGCAGGAAAAGTTGAACTTCCCTTTTGAAGCAGCCAGCTTTGGCTGCAGGTTTCTAGACAGATTGCAAAGAGTTGGCAGGTGCTACATCACTGCAGGAGGCAGTCATGGCCATGAACTTGGATGGCTGTAAAAGAGGATTGGGAAAATTCTTGAAGGAGAGGGTTAGCAATGACTACTAGACATGCAGACTGTGCTCTACCTTCACAGTCAGTGGCATGATTCTGAATACCAGTTTATGGAAGCCTTAGCAGGGGAGCATGCTTTTGAGCTGGAGTCCTGCTTATGGGCTTCCCATTGGGGCATCTGGTTTTCCACTGTGTGAACAGGATGCTGGCCTAGATGATCCACTGGCCTGATGAGAAAGGCTCTTCTTATGTTCTTATGCTATAAAATGTTCTATAAGCACCATCTCCATTCCCCAAGTTCCTCTGAAATGCAGCTTGGCGTTGCTAGCAACCGAAGAGACAGCCTCCTTGACCTGACCCTGAACTCCTTGAATGAAATGTGTTGATGAGCTGCTTTGAGGCAGATCCCTTGCAAGCTGAATTGACCTTTTTAAAAAGGGATCAGCAATGTCATGAGAAGTCAACAAAGGGAAAGGTAGTGGCGGCAGTTCTGTTTTTTTTAAAAAAAAATCTCATAAGAGAGGTAAGGAGGCCAGTAGTGAAATGGGAATGAAATTAAAAGCAGATATTAATAGCTGTATTAAATGATATTTATCTGACCTCTTTTCGCATGATCCTTTTAATGATAACCCAAAAGCTGTTAATGCCCTTGCTCCTCTCACTGCTCTCTGTCAAACTGTATGGTTTTCATTAGGGAGGAGAAGCCTTTTGCTTTCCTTACTAGCCCCAGGAGGATGAAGTTGCAGGTCACACTCAAGCTTTGTCAGTCGATAAAAGGTGGTACAGCAAATGATGATGATTTTGGCAGCTGGAACCACCATGTAAATTGGACAAGAGTGGAGTAATGATAGAACCAGGTCAGATGGGTGGATGAAAGAAACTAAGTATCCCAGTGGATGACTTGGAAAATCTGCCAGCATTGGTCAGTGCTTACTTTCATCAGAAGCCATGAAGAATAGATCTGGGAATGCCCTGCTCCCTGTGTAACTGCCCCCTGTGTGAGTCACACAAACATATGTATGCAGCTTACAGCATCTTCCTAATACTGAAGTAGTCTTTGACTCCAGATTCCACCTCTCCAGCCAGGAATTAGACCCTTCCAGAGAGCAAGTCTAATAAATCACTTCCGGTTTGGCTGGATCCTTGCTGGAGAAACAAAGCCTTTTTGGAATGGGTGCTTTCCTGGCTCAACTCATCAGCTTTAGTTCCATTTAACTCTAGACTATTCATTCCTAGCTCCTGACCCACCTCTGACAACAACCAAAAGCTGAGCCCCACCAAAATTTTAAGGTCAACATTTGAATGGTCATTCTCTGCCCACACAGAACTTCAACCCCAGGACTCTCTAGTTAGTAGGATCAGGTAGGAAGTGATGAAGGACCTCCATCTGAGTCCACAGAGCACTATTGCCAGTGACAAGAGATAGTACAGGGCTGCATGAGACGACAGACGAGCCTGTTGAATCAGGCCGGTGGTTCATCTACACCAACATCCTGTTCTCATAGTGGCCAACCAGGTGCCTGTAGGAATCCTGCAAGCAGGATAGGAACAGAACAGCAGTCTGTACACTTGTGACTCCCAACAACTAATATTCAGAGGCACATTGCCTTCAACAGTGGAAGTGGAACAAAGCCATCATGGCTGGGAGCTCTTGATAGCTTTGTCTTCCAGAAACTTGTCTAACCCTTTGTGAAATCCACCCAAGTTGGTGGACATCCCAGACCATGTCTTATGTCACACTTCTCTACCCTAATGTCCTCCATATGTTCTGGACTGCAATTCCCATCAGCCCCAGCCAGCATTACCAATAGTCAAGGGTGATGGGATTTGTAGTCCAAAGATATCTGCGAGATCAGGTAAGGCTGTCTGGCTCAGTATAAGGCAGGTTCTCTTGTTCCATATGGGGTTGCTAGAGATATCAGAAACTTTGTTATCAGTTGAGGCAGGCTTCTGTTCACCTGGAACAGGCTGATTCTGAGACCGTTTTGTGTCCTTGATCACATCTGCTCAAAAGGGCTCCGTGTGATGAGTGAGTACAACAGGTTGGGGAATGCTCTCAATGTGGGTGACCTTTGAAACAGTGATGGAGAGAAAAAAGGGACAGGAATGATTTTTGCATATGTGGAAGCCACAGGGATGCCATGTTGTTTCTGAGCAGATATGACTCAGCCGAGGCTCATAATTGGAGTGTATGGACCTCCCCTGCCACCCCTTCCACGCTGCCTGATGGGATCCTGCAGCATTCAAATGCAAAATACGCATTAGCCTTTGTGTGTTGACGGGGCCTTTGAGGATGAGAGAAGAACTGAGAGACGTGTGAAAGTGGCAGGGGTTTCAACCATAATCTGTGCGCAAAGCTGACTCAGTCCTTTTCCAACTTCTAAGAGGGTTTCTGATATGGAAAGCAAAAGGGAGGCTAAGAAGAACTTTTTTCCCATTGCAGTTTCAATGCAATAAAAGTGTTTTTGCTCACAGCTTGGACCTTGTCTGATGAGATGCACAGCAGGTGGTTCTGTGGTCCTGCGTGCCTTTATCTTTTCATTGTCTGCGATGGCACAGTTCACAGAGATGAGAAATGTTGGCTAAATTGGCATCTAAACTGGCCTGCGTATTTAAACTATTCTATTTGTCCCCCTCTTACCCTTTCCATAGTGAGAAACATTGACTGCTTCCATCAGTGAAACTGGCAGTGTTAAAGGTGTCACCAAATACCTGCTCCACATTTGTAAGAATTTGATATTTTAGTGTGCCTTCAACTGTGCTCTTTTCACTGCATGCTAAGCAAAAACAAAACATTTTTGTTTAGGCAAAGCATCTTCAGACAGCTGTGTAAAAGCCCTATAATGGTATTACTGCATTCAGAGAACTGCAAAATCTGTAGAACATTAGCTTCTGACTTGCAAATTGGTCAGGGAGAAGAGAAGATTCCAGCCATTTTGACTTGGAATTGACTTGGATTGAATTTCTAGGACCATCCCCTGAACTCTGCATCTTCCTTCCTCTGCATCCTGTTATGACAGCTGCCAGCAATCTGCTCCTGGCTTCCATGCATCCTTATAATAATGCCGAGAAGGATTTATCTGTGCATAGCATCAAGCTGGTGAGTGGAATTAGGGCAACATCAGCCTCCAGAGACATCAAACAAAACAGGCCGCGGTGGAAAGTTAGGAAATGGGCTGTACAATTTAATATGTAACAGTGGCCTATGCTCCCTCTCACACTGGAACCCACAAATGGCCACTGAGAATCCAGTGGCTATTTACCATAGAATAAAGGCTTTCATTGCCTTTGAAGTTCCCAAGCAGTAGAGTTCTGGAACTTCAGTGAGCATCTGAATAGCACCGTGGTGGAAGTAGAGAAGCTGAGGTGCACTTTGGCACTCAGTGGCTAATTCAGGGCTGCTGTTCAGCCCAGGTAGCAAGTTGCCCCTTTGGAAGAGGAAGAGAGCAGGATCCTAGCATTATGGAAGGCTGCAAGTCAAAATAGATTCTAAAGATCAGAGGTTCCCAAAGTGGATGGTACTGCCCCGTGGAACGGTGGGATTACCTATGTGGATGCTAAGAGGCAAGGGGATGGCAGCAGAGGTGCTGGAGGTGTAAATCACTATCAGACTTCGAAAAGCTGGCATCACTGGATCAAATTCAACTAACTTATTGAATTAAACTAAGTTGTTTTAATTGGATTTTGAATAAATGGGCATTCAGTTGTTACTGTTATTGTTACTGGCCTTTATTGGCATAAGTTTAAAGAGAGCCAGTGTGATGTAGTGGTTAAGAGTGGTGGACTCATAATCTGGTGAACTGGGTTTGATTCCCCGCTCCTCCACTTGCAGCTGCTGGGTGACCTTGGGCTAGTCACACTTCTCTGAAGTCTCTCGGCCCCACTCACCTCACAGAGTGTTTGTTGTGGGGGAGGAAGGGAAAGGAGATTGTTAGCCACTTTGAGACTCCTTAGGGTAGTGATAAAGTGGGATATCAAATCCAAACTCTTCTTCTTCTTAAAATCATACAAAGTCATCCAGGTACATTAATAATACAAACACATACAATGTATTAAAGGCTAGATTGCCACCACTGAATAAATCAGGAAACTTTAGATTTAGCAAAACAGTTGTTACTGTTTTGCATTTCATTCTTAATAATGCTTTTTACAGGGTAGGGTAGGGAGCCATGGGGATGAGTTTGTAGAAACTTTGGAAAACATTGCTAAAGATTCACTTGTCACAAGGAATATCCTATGAATAGTTTACACACACATTATATGTACAATTAACTTTCTCATCTATAAAACGGTTGCTATAGGCAGGCATCTTGCCAAAAAAGTTTTATGGGATGCTGTCATTTAGCAATAAGGACCAGGAAGGCCAATCAAAGTCATACTTTTTAATTACAATCTCACTTATCCATAATCACAAACATAGCACAGAATCATGGAATTGTAGAGTTGGAAGGCTCCACAAGCATCAACAGGTCCACCCTCTGCAGTGCAGCAATTTTTGGCCCAGCGTGGGGCTCAAACCCACAACCCTGAAATTAAGATTCTCATGCTCTACTGACTGAGGTAACCTACTTGCTTATTGCAATAAACTTGGAGATTGTAGGGCTGAGTAATAAGTTGTCTGGATGGTTTGTTCATTGTCTTGCCTGGAACTATTAGCACTGGGGGCCAGAAGGATGCGGCATCCTCCAACCTCTAAGTAGGATAGAATAGGCAAGACATTTGCCTTCCAAATGCTCTGTCTTATAGGCAGACTTGCAGCCTTTAGAGCAGAGGACCCATGGCTTTAACAGCTCCATAGCATGTTGACACCAAGCAACAAATCACTTTTGTTTTGATTTCTCCCTTTCAAGCCACCTGACATGTCTCATATTCCCAACATGGGTAGGGAATCTGTGGCTTCTCCTTCCATTCCCTCACTGTGTTGTCTTGTTCAGTACAGAATTTCATATTCTAAGCTCCTTGAGAGCTGCCCTCAGCCTTTTCTACCTATGTAATTGGGGGTGGGCATTTGGGAAGAAAGACTTTGGCAATCTCACCCACCACCGCATCCAATGTGTTTTGACTATACACATAAGTTGAGGACTCACTGTATAATAATAGTGCTGTGTAAGTCAAGGAAAGTTATTGGACTCCAACTCCCATCATGCCTAATCACTGGCCGTGCTGCCTCGGACACTGCTACTAGAAGCAATAAAAATGGCAGTCATAATATATTCCAGAAAGGGTAGCCATGTGTGACAACAATATATGTCTATGTATTGTAATAATCATGTAGATGTGCATTGCTGCAGCTTTCTGAATTACTGCGGAACGCCTGCACTTCAAAACACAACCAGTTTCTTGCAGCTTTTAACAGCTGCAATAGACAGAAGTCAACAATGGAAAAAGGATTATTAATGATTTCCACATTGCAGATAAAAGACAAAGGGGACATTTTTTTTTTCCATTGTAGTACAAAGGAGGCTCCTCTTGCTGCTCCCATTAATTTCATTATGCTAAATTGATTGCACATCATACTTCACGTTTTGTTATCATATCTGTCAGTCTGTCATTCATTTCAATCAGGATGATGGCATCTCAAATATCTGTCAGTTGAAAGGATTTAGACAGCCCCACTCCAGAGGAAAGGGGCAGTAGGCAGGCTGAAGCCTTGTGGTGTGTGAGAGAGATCCATACACCTTTTTAATCCCGACCAACCTCACCATGCTGAGTAGCATCCTTCATGAAATTTAGCTAAACAGCTACACAAGTCAGATTGAATTAATAAAACCAGATATATATATTTATTTATTTTTAAAACCCACAAAACTTTCTCACACCAACAGTTTTCCAATAGTTTGTCCTTTTCCTTAATGTCAGTAAAGAAAGAGGTCCAGAATTTGGACATTTATTTAAAAGGGGCCATATTAGATCTCTTATATCAATAGCTGTGGATGACCTCTCCTCCTTCCTTTTTTCTTTTTGGTCAGGATGCTTGAGGAAATTGCAGGTGCTGATATGAAATAGCTTGATCCACATCTCCTGGTCATGATGACCCCAAATTTGTCTCCCATCATTGAGAGATGGTTCAGAGTGGGAGAAGGAATTGCCCTTAGGGTCAGCCACTGACCCTAAGGAATCATTTACACAGGTTTTTGTCCCTTACTCTGGAGAGAATTTGGCATATTTCTGGCTACTTTTTGCTCATCTTTCTAATGGGGAGAGTTGAATTTAGACCTGCCTTTTTATAGAGTTTATAGATGTATTTTTAGGTTTTTTTTCCTTCTGGTTGTTATACTAGGTTTTAATATTTGTTTATTTGACTTTGTGAGTTTCTTTGGGTCACACTGTGTGTGTGTGTGTGTGTGTGTGTGTGTGTGTGTGTGTGTGTGTAAAGTGACCAAATCAGGTTTTCTCTGGATTGATGTCTGCTCCAATTTAGCACTAAAGAGCAGGTTTTCGGGGGGGGGGGGGAGCAGCATGGCAAAGGTGAAACCAATCAGGTTGTGCCTAGAAATCACGTGACAAGCAAGAAACTGCTCATTTCAGGACAAGTGTGGTTGAACCCTCTGTTGGGGAGTATGAGTGCATTATTTTTTTCAGTGATGAGGCTTCTCCCACAGAAGGAGGAGTTTGTTACTCAGATAGAGCAACAGCTCCTATTTAAGGCTCAACCTGAGCTTGGCTGTTGTTGAAACAACATCTGAGCTCTGCTTTTAATGCGTCTCCAGTTTGATCCCTGTTTAGAGCTGTCCAGAGTGCCATTGAACCTTAAAACCCTTACCTCGCCTCAACCTAGACCTAGACTTCATTGTACCTTCCCTTGCTGTCTTTCTCCAAACTTGAGCTCTTTCCATGGGTCAGAAAAGCCCTGAGGCTGTTGCTTGAAATAGAGAATTCCCTGGCTAAAAGGTGGATCAGAATTTAGTTGTCCATTGGCTTTTTCACTGTTAAAATGCAGCACTTGGATAAATTATATTTAGAAATGCATAGTTCAAGAGGATGAGGGGTTGTTTTTTTTTAAAGAGTAGTTTAAAATATATACGGCAATGCAAATGTCATTGTGGATGTTAAAAATAAATTGTGCAGAGGAGCGCAGAAGCAGGGCATAATGAACTTGTGGGTGAGGACTTGCAAGAGTGTCATGGGCTGATACACCCATCCCTAGGAATCAGCCGCCCACCTACACACCTTTCCATCTTTAATGTGATGAAAACAGCTGGCTGTAACTAAATGGTACGTGCCCTTTGATAATCATGTTATCCTGTACAAGGTGCTCTATCATTAAAGGATAACACATGATTACTTTGCTTTACAAATCCTCTCTGGCACAGGTGACATTGGGATTGCAGTTAGGATCCACTAAATGTAATTACATGGTAATCCACTGGGACCTGAGCAAGGCACTCTGCGATTGCAAATCTCTGGACCTCCTGGATGCCACAATATTTTGACTACTGCTTTTCAAGGGTTTTCTGGTGATGGGTGGAAAGGAATGGGAGGCAGTTTTACAGATCTGCCTGCCACATTTTAGCACAAAGGCAAGTTTGGCGTATACAGTTAATGGAATTGTATTGTCCACGGAACTTCCTCAGTGTTGAAAAGGGAGTCTCTGCTACAGACTGTGTCCTTTCTTGCTAGCCTTCAGATGCCGAGCAGCCAGCTTTGTTTGCTGCTAAGCAATGGCCTGTATCCAACAAACATCTACTCAGAGTAGACCTATTAAAATTAATGAACCTCAGTTAGCTATCCCCATTAATTTTAATAGTTTTACTTGGAGTATGACTGGCACTGGATACAACCAATTGAGTTTAGCCCTTTGTTGTTACTGCATATGAAGAATGAATGAATTCTGTGCTGTGGAGCTATGATGTGCTAGGATAAGGGATGCCTCTTTAAAAATAAGCTGAAACTCTCCAAAACCCTCTAAGGAGCAAGAGGAGAAGCCAGCAGTTTTCTGATGTTTAAGAAGTGATAGATGAGGTGCAGCTTTGAGCTCAGTGGCAGAGAACATGTTTTGAGCACAGAAGATCCTGTGTTCAATCCCTGGGTCTGTTGTTGAAAGAAACCAGGAGCAGATACTGGGGCGGAACCCTCCTAGCCAGAGGAGAAAATGCTGGGTTGGGTGGACAGATAGTCTTGCCTGTATAATGTCACTTCCCATGTTTCTCCTGAAATGATGTATGGAGCCTTCCTATAAGCAAAAGCAGAAGGTTGAGCTGTCGGGATTTTGAAGCCCCATAATAGACATTTGGAGAGGTGTTCCCTCATTCTTTATAATGTGGCTTGCCCTGAGTGTTGAGTGTGCAGTAGAAATGGCCCCATTTCAGATGTCTGACCTCCCTTCAGCAGCCTCCCCCAGCCTGGCCCCTCCTAGCATCCTCCACATGGTTGTGAAGATGGCAATTCCCATCAGTCCCAGCCAGCATGGCCAATGTCCGGGGATGATGGGAGTTGCGGTCCAGTGACATCTGAAAGCCACCATGCTGGAAGAGGTTGCTCAAAAGAGTTCAGACAGTTTCTGAAAGGTGATGGCATCATGATGTCCATGCTAGTCTCTTCCTGAATTTGGAACTTCAAGCAGAGGTAGGAAATACTTCGGAGAATCATTACGGGAGTTGCTTTTGCATTTAGTGTGAAAACACATTCTCAAGGGAAGGGGAGCAGCTTTTCCACCCTCCCACCCACACATACTGATTCTGGATCATGACAGAGGAATAAATCATATCCCTATTCCCCACCCATAACTGGAACTAAAACACAGCAAGGCAAATGTACAGGCTGAACCCACAGACCCATCACCTTGGTTCCAGGGCCAAACAATTTCCCCTCGCTTAGATTTCTTGTGTGAATGCACAACTCTTTTATTATTTTTATTTTTGGTTGATTTATTGTCTCTCTGCATTCATCGCTCTTCTTTAAATTAAAACTCCCTCCAGATGGGGTCTCAGACACAGATTTATAGATCCGCAATAAAACCTCACTCATAACCTGTACAGCTGCCCATTCATCTTGTGCTAAGGAAAGGCACAGAACTGCGTGAATGTCCCAAGAATGAAAGCGAAGAACTTACTTCTTTCCAATTTTCTCTCTCCCTTGTCCCACATTGGCCTCTGTGCAGTTGTTGACCCCATGGCTCGAGAACAGGCATCACCCAAGTGGGGCTCTCCAGAATCTTTGGACTACAATTGGCTGAGGCTGGTGGGAGCTATAGTCTGAAAACTCTGGATGGCACCAGATTGGTGAAGCCTGCCCCAGAAGGTTTGTTGTTTGAGGATGTGGATTAATCAGTATGAAATCAATGCAAGGCATCCTGCAAAAGTGGACGTCGAATGATGAGTACCTGTCACCTCCTATGTAGCCTATGGGAAGAGTTGCCACCTTTGGTTGGGCAAAATACAGGACAGATTGGGCAAAATAAAGGACAGGTCAGGGGGTGGGGATTGGGGTGCACACACGCTCTCATGACATAACACCCCCCCATTTCCTGGAGCTAAGTCCAGGTGCTAATTGTTGATGGGGCAACTTCAAGGCTCCCTCTGCTCTCCTTTTTTAGGGTTCTTTGTTTTCAAAAGTAGCCTTAGGCT